TCATGAACTCACACTGTGGAGGCATCTGAGCATCACTGACCGTTCAGCCGTCTGCTGCACTGGCAGATGTTTACTCCATATATTGATCATATTATACTAAATATTTGCTAGGGCTAATATTACTCAAGGTAAGCAATGTATAGGCTAGTGCGTAAAGGCAGCTCGGTTATAATGTCAAACAATAAAGTACAAAACTGATTTCGAACAGAAAACGAACTCACCATTTCTTCTCCTCTCATTTGTAAAACTCAGATTCTGCAAAAAAAAGAAAATAACCAGTTTTAGAAAAACATACTCACACACACTTAGGCTAATCATTTCGTAAGAAATCACAACAGCGTGTAAAAAGTAGGCAACACAAGCACACACTCACTTCTAATATGGCACTCTATGTCCAAAGTAAGTAATATATCCCATAAACAGAGTTAAGCGTCCCGGTTCGTTCAGAAGGTGTTACAGTGTGTCTGACTGCAGATGCCTCCTGAACAGAGGTGTATGATCTGAGTGACTCTTCAGCCCTGCTCGCCTCCTTTTACAGCTCCGCGCCCTGCTGCCAGTCACTGTGCATCGTGTCTGAATGAGCCAATCAGAGCGCAGGACGCACACACAGCTCGTTTAGACCCGCTTCCGTGTGCAGACGAACCCAGCTGCAAGAGCTGCAAGAGAGGAAAAATAAGTCCCATAAATTGGATCTTAGATCAATATAGGGAAAACAATTCCTAATGTTATACTTGATATTGTAGTTTCAGGAACTGTCTCCTAGATAAGACTATGATTACTTTTAAACTTCACATGTTTTAGATCCTAAAACTGACATCATTCAATAAGGCTTTGAGTTGGTTTAGGAACCTACTCGTAGAATTTGATTATCTTTAAATTAATGGTTTATGTGTTGATGCTTCTCTGTAACTTTATGTGCCCATGATTTAGTTTGTTGCATTATGATCTGTCTTCTTCACCCCTTAGCATTTTATATAGGGCCTACTGTGAATTTTTGTAGACAATGTAGACAAAAGTATGATCTCCCGTGAAGATATATTGTGTTTACTATTCTAGAATAATTTGAAGTCTATCAAATATTCACATTTGAGACGTTTGAATATGTGGTTTAATTTCTTCTTCAGCCATTCAATATCATCAATTGAGTAGGCTACTTTGAATTAAGTTATGAATGTATTCATGTGAAAGAAAAAGGAGTGATAGGACATAATTGCCTGCATTTAATGTTGAATAACGCACTTACGGCATGTAAGTGTGTTATTCAACATTAAATGCAGGCAATTATGTCCTATCACTCCTTTTTCTTTCACATGATTGTTTTAAAGTTGCATAGCAAAAACAATGTAAACAACCAAACCCTTTTCTTGGGCTGCTTCTCATCTGGTAGAATAAAAGAAGCTTGTCCTCCTGATGTTAATGTTAATCACGGGATCAGAGTGTTTAAATACCTCCATGTTAATGTGATAATCCTGCACTCATTGGGCATTGAGCCTGTAACCCTGACAGTCGTTGGGCCCTCCACATTCAATTCACACTATTCACTAAATGGATGTTTATGCAAAACTGAGAGGAATGCATCTGTTCATTACTGTTGTGGGTAAATCCAGATCTGATGGCCTGCTGTTCGGGTGCAGATTTGTCTCCACAGCAAGGACAACATTAGCATACAGGTACTTGCAGCATGTTCAGACCTGGTTAACCGACTAGACCCTAACACATCCTGCTCGGGTGTTATTTGAATATTTTAGGGAGATTTTAAGCACTTTAATACTGAAAACTGTCTATTTTTCAGACTTTTCTTCAGTTAATTCTGTCAAATGCTCATATTCTAACACACATTTTCACATTAAGCTTCAATATACAGGACAAGCTACAGTACACACTTACATTGAAAATATTATTTTCACAGAGTGCATGTTTTTGTTGACGCCAGGCTTTCACTTTTAAACGAGATAACGTTTCTAAGAAAAAGCGTACCACCCTAAAAGCCCCCAGCCCTTACACTATCCATTAAGTAATTACACATGCCTGGTAATGGAACTGTGATTATTTCAATTTTCTATACAGACTGACCTTTATTCTGAGTCTCTCTGCTTTTAGGAATCCCTAATGGCTATAATCATTAAATGAGTTGGTACTTGAACACATGAATGGTTTACTTCCCTTTATGAAACTAGATTTTAACATCATGCTGGTGTTTTTTTTATTTTTTCAGAACATTCATATGGCAGTGGTGATGTCCATTAAGTATAAACCCCTAAACAATCAGTATTTTGTTCAAGGCGGGTCACACATCAGAAATAAGTATTTTAGCCCCCCCCCCCTTTTTTTCTGGTTGTCGACATGTCATTTCTGGCTACAGATGAAAATAATTAATTTGACCAGATATTATTGATGCCATGGCTCATAGCTTAAATGCAAGACTAATAAAACCAATCAATTCAAAGCAACATGTTTTGACACAAATGTTTGATTCAAAATTGGCTTCAAAAACAAATATGCTTGCTTTAAAAATATTGAATTTTACTTTGAAATATACCCAAAAAAAAATGAATTCAAGATAACATTTTTACTGTTGTTTGTGCAAAACATGTAAACTTTACTCTGGTTAGTAGACAGATGTGTTGTGTCTCTGAGAGGCTGGGTGAATGTAGAGTCTTTGAGATGTAGAACTGCAGTGCCCTCTAGGGAAAAACTGCAGAAGGTTTATACATAAAAAAAAGTAATGTGCCGTTTTATAATAATAATAATATTTGTATTTTGTAAGTGCTTTTACAGGTGCTCAGAGTCGCTTTACAGAGGTAGTAAAAAAGGACATCTTTATCTTTTCCACACTTTCACACTCAGTAAGGATGATAGTAGTTGTAATTGTTGTATTGGTTATTTGTTAAATATATTTAGGCTATATCATATTGCTTTTATGTATGTCCTTGATTATTAGTTAGCAGCACTGTTCATTTTCATTAGCGTATTCCTGTAAACTATGTAATCATTTTAAATTGAATTTAAAGCAGGATGTTGTCTGTGTAACACTGAACTAATCAGTGAATCACAGATTTGGTTGAGAAATCAATGGTTATACTGTAAGACCTTCTGAGTACCTTACCATAATCTCATCTACATGCATATAAACACATTCAAGATATATGTTATGTGCTATAACACATACACTCATCAGTCTTCCTCTGAGTCATTACTGGAGAGTGTTCCCCCAGAAGCACATTCACAGGTCCACAGACTTGTCTCAACCTTTAAAATAATGTGTTGTCCTTTACAGCAAGTTTCTTAACCACAGCGGCACCACATTAAAACTGTGCCAGTACCTGCACTTTTTTTTCTATAAGTGAATTTTTATCAACAGATTTTCGTTTTTTTATTTAGATTTAGACCATGTCTAACATATAATGCTGCCAATTTCACCATTTGCTGTTGCTTGATCTTCATCTGTCTGAAAAATGAGTATTACTATTGTGGAGGGGGGCATCTGGAGAGGATTGGCAGGATGAGTAGAGGGTCATTAAGCTAATATATATGAGCGTCACTAATTAGCCATGTTATCCATGTAATATGCATCACACCCTGAACAGCTTCCTAATCATTTTATATTAAGTTAAATCCAGACATATAAAATAGGTTGAAGCTATCGTAAATGTGTCAAACGAGGCCTTTTAAAAACTTGAATAAGGATTTGACAATGACATTTTTTTTTCCATAAAACACTGATCATTGTCTGTCCTCGTATTTCTTCTCTTTAGATGGTCTATGGAAGAATGTGAGCGATAGGCATTAGCAGTATTTATTTTTCTAAATAAATAAAATCTCCCTCCTTTGATTTATTTGTTCTCATTGCACTAATACTGTTTAACTTTATTCATGACATTTTGAATGTATTCATAAAATAACTAAATCATCTTACTCCCCCTTTGTCACCATATGCCTGGCCCCTATTTTCTTTTTGATTTTCTGTCTTTCATTTATATTACAGGGGTTTCTGAAACCACTGTGGTGGATGTAGAAACCACTATTAGCCACGTATCTCTCAAACTCAACAGCAATATTTTATAAAACAAACTTCTCCTTAATATTCACCTCTTCATCTGGTAAATAAGTAACTACATCTCCTAACAGTGGAGTATTATGTCCTTGTTGTGTTGATTTTTCCGTTTGCCACCAATAGGGAAATCATACTTAATCGAGAACATTTTGTGAAGGCAAAACTGAGACACTGGTGTTTGTAGGAATTGATATCCTTACATTAATCGTCCACTAGATGGGGCCATCGGCCAGTTTGATTTCAGCAGGAAGTTGTGGTTCGGGTTGACATTTTCAAAAAGGCCCGGGGCTTTTAATGTGTGATTGTTTTTGTATTGCTTGATTTTAATTTGACTTTAACTATATTTATTTGTTTTTCTTTTTTTTTCACTATCTCTGTAAAGCAACTTTGTGCACCTGTAAAAGCACTAACAAAATGTATCTATTATTATTATTATTATTATTATTATTATTATATGTAAAAGGGCTTGAAGCGAGATTCTGTAACTTTTGATAGAAGAAATTAAACCTCCTCTTACAAAAGAAAACACCATAGCTAAAGGTCATACTCAAGTCTTGTCAATGTAGCCTCACTTGGTCTGGCATCATCAGAATACATTGTTTAATGTTCGCAAACTTTAGATATAAAACTAGACTTAATACCAACATAACTTTACTACAGAGACATTCAGTTATAGTGCTCTATAACTGTGTTGCTATTCCACTACATTTAAGCATTTACTATCATTCCTTATTTGTCACTTATAGCCACCATGTCTTCTTTTCAGCTACAAAGTCTCACTTTTGTGGAAAGTAAATATTCTAAACCCCAATACTTCAGTTTTATTTATCTTTGCTTGTTTTGAACCCTTTTGTGTAAAGAAATGACAAACAACTGCGAAGTTACCCACAAAATATGTTGCAATATAACAGAAGTAACAATAGGGAGAAAAAAAAACGTGCACAGGTCAGGTGATCTCTACTTTTATTTAAATTAAATCATATAGGACTTTAAAAGCATTTTAATATTTACCAAAAAAACACTAACCTTTTGCTGAATTAGATTTTCGTCTCTCATTAATAATCACTATATATTCATAGGTGCTAGGCAGAAAACACAAGAAAAGTATAGGCGCACAGTAGGTCAAACAGTATTGAAAGCATATCTAGGAATTGGTTGTAAACAGAAGTCAAGGCACACACATACCACGACAAACATGGAAATGGTACTATAAAAAGTGAGAGAATGTTAGTTACACACATACTTTAAATATCAGTTAGAATTTTGTCATAATTTCCCCCAGCATGTGAAGCATTTTTTTTTTTTCCTTTTCAGCATTTTAACATTTTTTATTTTGTTTTTCTTAGGAATGTTAGATAATTTGTGCAGATTACATATTTGCCATGTTGAGTCATGCAGAACAATATACGGTTTGGCTATGAATGATGAACTTATGTAAACATTATAAAAAAAAAAGAAGCACTTTCCTTTATCAGTCATATTTTATGTCCATGCCTGTGCTTCATCTTTTAAAAAATAAGCTTCCTGTGATTAAAAGTTGAATAATTTGCACATCAGAATTTCTAAAAGTAAAATAAATGCATTTATATAAAAAAGTTTTCCTTTACCTCCATTAGTAATTGAAAATAAAGAAGAAAAAAAAAATAGAACAAAAATACAATTATAAATGTTGATTTTGTGGTCATAGCCCAAAGAGTTAACAATACAAGCGACTGGATCAGCATTTGTTGAAATTCTGCGAGTCTCGTCGGGTTTTTAGTCTCTTAGGTGTCTTTATAAAAAGCAGATCAAAGCAGAAATCGTGGTTGGCCAGTGCAGTCATTCATGATGTGTGTTTACTCCCCCTTTCTTCATGGTCATTGGAACTCTTCAAGTAATCTGAAAAACAAAAACAAACACACCTATCAGTCATTATTTCTGACAGGCTTCAGACGTTGACCTGCTGCCAGGTTTCTCTCTCTGAACTCACCTTGACTCTCTCTCAGATTTGTTTTTTAGAAGAGGCCGCAGTCCTTCAGGTTGTTCTTGATGATGACGTCAGTGACAGCGTCGAACACAAACTGCACGTTCTTGGTGTCGGTAGCGCATGTAAAGTGGGTGTAGATTTCCTTGGTGTCCTTCTTCTTGTTCAGGTCTTCAAATTTGGTCTGGATGTAAGCCTGGGCCTCCTCGTACTTGTTAGGGCCTGAGGAGACAGAGTGAGAGAGGAGAGGCTGAGTCGCTGAGGAGAACACACTCTCTGAAGGGTCTTTTTCCGTTCTCTTGTTCAATTCATCTGGAATGATTTTGCCTCTCTTTGGTATTATCATTAAATTAGAGTCACATCATCGGTTTGTATCTCTGACCACCCGGCAATGTTTGAAAGTCCAACGTTTGTTTAAACACTCTTTCCTAGTCAGCAGATATTTTCAGTATCCAGAAAGACCCTTCTAACCATCTGCAAAAAATATATAATTGGCTCAGATCTTTTCCAAATCCAAACAAAGATTGGACGTCTAAATAACAAATGGTTTTGCTGATTTTAAACAATATGAAACAAAATGTTAACAATTGACCTCCATTAGTCTTTGTTTGGATATTTTCCGAAAAATATAAAGCATTGATATTTTTTTCTGTCGTATGAAAAGGGGAAAGATATTTTCTGGTCATCTGGACTGGTAAATATAGTCGCAAATAAAGAAATAGGTATAATGTCTTTATCATATTAGATTATGTTTTCATCCATATGGTTAGAAGAGTCTTTAAGGATTTTTAACTTCAATGTGATAGTGACACATAAGAGGCAAAAAGTGAGTCTAGATTTAGCCTGGTTTAATGGTTCTATACAGAGGCAGACTCTAACCCTAAGTACAAGAGTAATTTTTACACCCTATTTACTAAATATTTTACTTGTTAAAATCTATCATTTGGTCCTGTCCTGTGTTTGTGTTGAGGCGGTCCCACCGTACCAGAGTATTCGGGGAAGCAGATGGTCAGGGGGCTGTGGGCGATCTTCTCCTCGAACAGGTCCTTCTTGTTGAGGAACAGGATGATGGAGGTCTCTGTGAACCACTTGTTGTTGCAGATAGAGTCAAACAGCTTCATGCTCTCATGCATCCGGTTCTGGATGGGACGGGTACAAGTGGAGATAAAGAGATTGTTATCATTATTAAAAAAACGTTCCCTGACACCTCTCCTCTCCATTTTCCTCGGAATCATCTCCTTGTGCAAAGCTTTTAAACATTTTTGAGGATAAGCCTAACTCACCATCTCCTCGTCCTCAGCCAGGACCAGGTCGTAGGCACTCATGGCGACACAGAAGATGATGGCTGTGACTCCCTCAAAGCAGTGGATCCACTTCTTCCTTTCTGAACGCTGGCCTCCAACATCAAACATCCTACACACACACACACACAC